CTACTGGAGGCTCTCACCCTCGTTCGTTCTTCGCCACGTACACGTCGGGGGGCTCGTCGGAGAGCTCGACGCCTGGCAGCCGAAGGGGGGGGCGGAGGAGGGACAGCGCGCTCAAGACTGCCGGAGGCCTCGAGCCGTCGACCGTGCTGCTGCCCCGCCCTCCCCAAAGCTCGAAGTTGGCGTCGCTCTCGAAGGGGGCGAGAGGAGGAGGAGGAGGAGGAGGAGGAGGAGGAGGAGCAAGAGGAGGAGGAGGAGGAGGAGGAGGGGGAGGAGGAGGAGGGGGAGGAGGTGTCCCCCGCAGTCCCAAACCCTCAAGGTTGGCACGCGCGGGGGAGACTGCGGTCGAGGTGCAGCTCAAATCAGGCCCGCCGCCAACTTTGAACACTGGGGGGAGGGTGAGGCGTTCACAGATGAATGTGGCATGAGTGTTCGCTATTTTTTCCGAGGCCTGTATCACGGGGAAGCTCGCGCTCGGACTGGTGGGACCTCTGAGGCAGAACGACCGCCCTGAAAGGGTATACGTGCCCTCCCCCTCTGCTCCTGCCTCCTCCCTCCCCTGTCTTCCTCCCTCCATTCGGCGGTGGACAAACCTCCCTTTAGTATACCTCCCCTTAGTGAAAACGGCCTGGGACCGAAACCGACGGACCTGGACCCGCAAAAACGACGGCCGCGACGCCCTCTCGCGAACCGAAGACGGCCAATTCCTGAATCGACGCGTCAGGGTAGGAGGCCTGTCCACCCCCGATCCATCCCTCCTCCTCCTCCTCTTTCCCGCCGTCCTCGTCGTCCTCCTACTCCTCCTCTGACTACCTACCAGACCACCCCAACCCAACCCGAAGACCCGAATTTCGGGTGTTTTTTTTTTTTTTTTTTTTCTCGATGTTTCCCGACACCCCCCCCACTGGAAATCGAGGGTAAATCTGAGCCTTCGGGTAGGGTTGGGGTGGTTTGGTGGGTGGTGATCCTCCTCCCGGGGAGCTCCAGGAGGCCCTCTGAAGCCCCGTGGGAGGCTCCAGGACGGCCCAGCAGACACGCGGGCGCGAAGCCCCGGGGGACGCCCGAGAGAGACCCGAGGGCGAGAGGCCCTTATTGGAAGAGCACGGGAGAGGCCCCCCGCGGACCTCCGGGGAGGCCCCGGGGAGCTCCAGCGAGCTCCACGCGGGCCCTGGACGCCCCCGCGAGCCCGAGCGAGAGACGCCACGAGGCCGAAGCGAGGCTTCCGGAGGCCCCCGGAGGCCTCCACGCCTCCTCGGACCCGCTCGTGCTCAGCTCGCGCATGCTCGGGGCCACTCCTCGTCAGTCGGCTCCTGCGCGCGCCCTCGTCCTCGGACTCGCCCACACAGGGTACTCCAGGCTCGCGCTCATACTCCAATGCCCATCGAGGAGCACGTCAGGCCGATATGCACACACATGGTGATGATCGCGTCGAGCAAGTTTGTCAGCGCAGGCCCGTGCCCACCAATGACGATTGAAGACGCTCCGAATCCGGAGTAACGGGTGGGGGCGTACTCTCCGCGTGGAGCGGCGCTCCAAGGGGGGGGACGAGAGGTCGGTCAGCTGGATCGAACGGCGTTGGAAGCGATCCTCGAGCAACGCAGCTAGATCACGGAGACAAGCCTTGTTCAAAAAAATGATCTCCGTGAGGATGTTAGGAGGCAACTGCTGGGAGGTCTTCGTCGGAAGGACTCGGGATACTTGAGCCCCATTGAGGGGCTGCTGCGCCAGATTAGGCTGCGGGTTAAGCGGGATTGAACAGGATTGAGCCGGACGGAGCAAAATGAAAACGGATTTCGGACCATGGCAAAGTCAGAATTTCGCCTCAAAGGAGTTGCACCCGAAAGAATGAGGGGGATGAGGAGGAACAAGATGCGCTGCAGACCGCGGACGAGCCGTGGCAAATGCGGAAGCGTTCGGACCCCACGCTGGTCGCGAGAGGGGCGCGGGAGACGAAGCGGATAGGGGGCGGAGAGGATCGAGGAGGACCAGGAAGTCGAAGCACGAGTTGGTGCAGCAACACGACGGCCCGAAAAGGTCTTTGCAGGGCCCATCACAGATTCCTGTGACATGCGAAGGTAGGAGGTAAACGAACCTACCTCGCTTTTGACCACCGTCGCTTCCAACAGATGCCAAACGATACTGAGCTACGACCCGCACCAGTCAAGCCGCTTGACGAGGAGACGCGTGGCATGATTTTGTATTGTCTGGAAGCGAAAGCGGGTTAGGTACTTCACGCTCTGAGATGGGACGCACAGAGATACATCAGTACTATATGTCCTCCTTGAAGGCGTGCGTCCGACCCGAACAAATTGTATACCCATCTTGTAGTATATCGTTTCCCGAGCGGTGTGGCCAAAAAGCGCCCGCCAAGACGCATATACTAGAAGATTTCTCGGTGCGCGCGTCGCCCCTGCGGGGGCGACGCACATAGAGTATAAATATGTTTGGGTGTAGTCGATGAGAGGCACCCGTCGATTCCCCCAGACCGGTGCTGGCACGGAGGGGCTTGACACGTCTCTCCGAGGAGCCGGACGGGGGACCGCCAAGCTCTCGGCGTTCACACGCAGGCTTTGTGTGTGCCCCGTCGCCGCACCAGCGGATACGGCCCAGTGCGCCGCCCAGGCGGGCGCGCACACGGCACCCGCCGCGTGCCTGGCACCGCATGCGCGGTCTTCTGCACTGGCCTGCCTTCCTTTACGCTGCCGTGCGCTGCCGGGGAAGGGGCAACGCACGCGCTCTGGCGACGACGTCTTCGTGCTCGGCCAGGACTCTCTGCAGCCTTGGCCGCACCCCTGCTTGCTCGGCGAGCTCGAGCAGAGCCTACGTTGCCGTGCGCCGCCTGCACTGGTCTGCGTCGCTCTGCACCTGCGCCGCGCTGCGCTGTGCTGCGCTGCGCTGCAGCGCTCTGCGGTGCTGTGCGCTCCTTGGGCGGCCTGCCCTGCTTCGCCTTGCCTCCCGTTGTGATGTCCTGTGCTGCATGGCTTCGCAACCACCTCCACGATCTCGCATTGTGTGCAATGCCTTCGCTGTCTTGCGGCACCTTGCGTTGTCATGCGCTACCCTGCGCTGCCTTGCACAGCTAAACACTGCTGTCCCTGCTTGTGTTGACTGTTCAGGCCCGCTCTTGGAGCATGCGTCTTGTCGTTTGACCGCGTTGTAAAGCAACGAGGTTGTAGTAACAGGATATCCCGCACGAGTGCGTAGCACGCGCAAACGTGAAACGGCCTCGCAACGCTACGAAGACATCCCGCAACTAGTATGAAGCACTCAGCGCATGTGGCATAGGGGTCGGTAGCAGAGGCTACGGGCGTCTGGAATTAAGGTGCGGGCGATGTGTCTTTGCAAAAAGACGCCGAGACAGGAGAAAGAAACAAGAAACGACACAGCACACGTGCAGTTGGAGCTTGGGTCAAAAGTTACTCTTCAAGTAAAAGAAAGAATGACACATTGAAATCACAGAAGGTGGATGAGTACGTGGATGGTCAGGAGACGAAAATGGAGAAGCAGCGGGTTTACAACATTGAAAGAAAAAGAGGGTGAATATCGACGGTACGGCAGAAATAGAGAGAGAGAGAGAGAGAAAGAGAGATAGGATTAGCCTGGCGAAGGACCCAACCGTCTGCAGTTGTTAATACCGCAATTGTGAATCTCCTCTTTGGTGGAGCTCCCTATGGGAGCACGAAGCGTGTGAAGGGTGTGCTGAAATGGTAGGCGGGGACGCATGCGAACTGCGCCACAGGGACATTTGGTGGAGCTCACTATGGGGCCACGAAACATGTGAGGGTTTTCCCGAAATCTGTGGAGGGGACGCATGAGAACTGCGCTACTGAGATCTTCGGTGGAGTTCCCTATACGGCAGGAGAGCCCAGAATCGAATCGATAAATCGGATCGGCGATCGAAATGAATCGGATCGGCGACAGCCAAGTCGGGAAAAGTCGAATCGGCGGAAATCGACAGGCTTGTATGCCTCCAATAAGAAGAATCGGAACCCAAATCGGAATCCCAAGTCAAATTGAATCGGAATCGGAAGCCGTCGAATCGAGTCGCACCGAATCGGAGTAGAAATGAGCCCTGATGCAGCGACGAAGCGTGTGGGGACTGTGCCGAAATGTGTGGCGGGGACGTATGCGAACTTCGCCACTGAGACCTTCGGTGGAGCTCCCCTGAAGGTCACGAGACGCGAGAGGGGTGTGCCGGCATGGGTGGCGGGGACGCATGCGAACTGCGCCAGTGAGACATTCGTTGAAGCTCCCCATGGGACCACGAAACGTGTGAGGGATGTGCTGAAATGGTTGGCGGGGACGCATGCGATCTGCGCCACTGGGACATTTGGTGGAGCTCACTATGGGGCCACGAAACATGCGAGGGTTTTCCCGAAATCTGTGGAGGGGACACATGAGAACTGCGCTACTGAGATCTTCGGTGGAGTTCCCTATGAGGCAGGAGAGCCCAGAATCGAATCGATAAATCGGATCGGCGATCGAAATGAATCGGATCGGTGGAAATCGGCAGCCAAGTCGGGAAAAGTCGAATCGGCGGAAATCGACAGGCTTGTATGCCTCCAATAAGAAGAATCGGAACCCAAATCGGAATCCCAAGTCAAATTGAATCGGAATCGGAAGCCGTCGAATCGAGTCGCACCGAATCGGAGTAGAAATGAGCCCTGATGCAGCGACGAAGCGTGTGGGGACTGTGCCGAAATGTGTGGCGGGGACGTATGCGAACTTCGACACTGAGACCTTCGGTGGAGCTCCCCTGGGGGTCACGAGACGCGAGAGGGGTGTGCCGGCATGGGTGGCGGGGACGCATGCGAACTGCGCCAGTGAGACATTCGTTGAAGCTCCCCATGGGGCCACGAAACGTGTGAGGGATGTGCTGAAATGGTTGGCGGGGACGCATGCGATCTGCGCCACTGGGACATTGGGTGGAGGTCCCTATGGGGCCACGCAACGTGTGGGGGGTGATGGAGGAGGGAGGGGAGGTAGGAAGGGGAGGAGGGAAGAGGGGGAAGAGAGGAGAGGAAGGAGACGCGGGGCGCTGTCTTTTCAGAACGAAGGCCCAACGCCAAAGGATGGTTGAGAACTACACGTGTATGTATACATATATAGATAGAGAGGGAGAGAGAGAGAGAGAGGAAAAAGAAAAGAAAAAAAAACAATCAACAGCAAACGACAACAAACAAAAACATATACAGAGAACGAGAGAGAGAGAGAGAGTGAGGGGAAACATAGGGAAAGGATAAGTATGTACAGAGGCAGAGAAGGAGCGAGATACCGAGGGAACGAGAGAGAGAGAGAGAGAAAACCAAAAACAAAAAACTGTGGGGAGGGGGCGGGGACGATCGAAGAAACGCTTTTTGCACCCTGGCGCCCTGGCGGGGTGAAGGAGAAACAGGAGTGTTGCTCGACACTGCCCGCATCTTGAAGGCTTGGAAGGAGAAGCAGCAGCAGCAGCAGCACCAGCAGTAAGCAGAGACACCCCCCTCCAGGCCTCATGGGCAGTCGAGCGCTCCCGGCAGCGGCCAAGTCAAGGTCAAGCCTTGTAGGTCCGGATCACGTCCACGAGCGTCTGCCGACACACGGGGCAGTCCGACACCTTCTGCGCGCACCAGCGGCAGAGGATGAAGTGCCCGCATGGATAGCCGAGGAAGCAAAACTGGCATCAACATAAACTGTCGGAGCTCCGCTCGGACTTCCTGGATCGGCACTGAGCCCCTCCGATAGCGCCTCCGGCGCCGCCCCTGGCGCGCTCCGAGCGCCAGGGAGGGGCATCCAGCGCCGATCCAAGAAATCCTTGCGCAGCTCCGAAGTCTTGTGCTTGTGCCGGTTCTGCCTCGGGGATGGACAGAACCCCCTTTGGTGGTAAAACGTGGTTTGGTTGACAACGACTTCGGGCACAAACCTGGCGGGCGCAAGCCAGGAAAATGACGGCCGCGGCGCCCTCTCGAGAACCGAAATCGGACAATCTACTAATCGACGTGTCAGGGTGGGGGTTCTGTCCACCTCCGAGTTCTTCCTTCCTCGAGGATAGAGTACGACGTCCACGCGCTGGTCGTAGCAGATCTTGCACAGGTCCTCGTCCGCCACCGCGCCCCGCCCCTCGGGCCCGGCCGCATTGGGCGGCTCCTCCTCCTCAGAAGAAGAAACACCGGCATGAACATCAACTTCCCTGAGCTTCCAGAGAGCTATGTGTTAGCACTGAAGGCCTAAAAACCTAAACAACTAAACGAAATATCCTAAAACCAACACGTAGAATAGCTTTGGCATAGGTTTTGAAGTCGGGTGCTATTTTGTAGCCCTCCTGGAACGTCAGGGTTTTGGGGCTCTCCGCGCGGATTTCTTGGATCCGCGCCGGACCCCGGAGCGCGCCGCCGGGGGGGGGGCCCGGGCGCCGATCCCAGAAACCCGCGCGGAGCGCCAAGAGCTTGTGCACATGCCGCTGTGTTTCTTCTTCCTCGGCTCCTCCCCGCGCTCGCCGGACCGCTGCTGCTGCAGCGCGTACGCCGTCTGCGCGCGCGAGTTCCGCATGCGCTGCTGCAGCGAGGAGAGCTCGCGCTCCCTCAGGCCGTGCACGCCGGCGTCCTGGCTCCGGTGCATGTCGCCCGCGGTCGAGCGCCTCGCCGCGCCCTCGGTGCGCATGCGCCGCCGCGAGGCCGTCACTCGCTCGGCGTACTCCTCCTGCGACAGCTGGGGGCGGAACTCGCCCTCGACGAAGGGCTCCCACAGCAGCCCTGGCTCCCTGCCGTCCGCGTGGAGGCCTGGGCCGGGGCCCTCGGAGGCGTCATCCCGCGGCGGCGGCAAGGCTAGGTCGGCCGCCGCCAGGGGCATCGCCAGGGGCATCGCCAGGGGCATCGCCAGGGCACCCCTGTCGGCGGCGGCGGGGTGGTGGTCGACCACAGCTGCCGCCGCCGCCTCGCCTGTCAACATCGCGGGATCGACGACGTGGAAGAGCGTGGAGCCCACCTTGAAGAGGTCCCGCTCGAGGAGCGGGTACGCCGGCGAGGGCTGCCCGTCCGGCGCCAGGCGGAGCCACGTCCGGTTGGTGGAGTACCTGTCGTCGAGGACGAAGCCTCGGTCGGGCAAGAGGCGCACCTCGCAGTGGAATCCCGAGATCTCTGGGTCCTGGATGCATAAGCCATTGCTGGACTCGCGCCCGATGCACAAGCCCTGCGGCGGCGGAGGCACGGCCGCCCTTACGTGGCGGTCGGGGCCTTCAACTGCCTCGAGGGTGCAGCACTCCCCATCGATCCGGACCATGAGCTCCGTCGTCCCTAGCTGTAGAACCTGGGGGAAGAAAAAACACAGAAGGACAAAACTTCCAGAGCTCCGCGCAGTTGTCTCGGATCGGTCGGCGCTGACCCCCCCTCCCTGGCGCGGCGCGCGGAGCGCGCCAGGGACGGCGCCGGAGGCGCCGCCAGGGGGGTCCCAGCGCCGATCCAAGACATCCGCGCAGACCTCCAAAGTCTACGTTTATGCCGTTTTCTTCGAGAGCCATCAGGTCCTCCAGCAGCAGCTCCTCCCTCACCATGACGAAGGTGCCCGTGGTGCTTCCGACGTCCTGCAGCAGGTGCTGCCCGGCCGCGTCGCAGACGATCTGGAAGTGGCGCCGCGACACGCAGTTCTCCGAGAGCACCACGTCGTTGGAGGCCGAGTGCCGCCCCCCCGTGATGCCCCCGGCGCCCACGAAGAAGACCTCGCCGGCCACGGGGCCCTCCACGGCGTGCAAGGCGAGCCCCCACTCCGCCCCGTCCGCGCCGCGGAAGCACCTCAAGGGCTCCACCGCCGAGTCCAGGACCCGCTGCTGCGAGGGGTCCAACACGCCGAGCTGGTCCCAGGCGGCCTCGGCGCCCAGCCGCAGCAGGGCGGGGCCGTCCACGCCGGCGGCTGCGAAGGCCTCGACGTGCTCCTCGATCCCCAGCCAGGAGAGCCACACGCTAACGTCCTGCACTGTCCACGACTGCGGGTCTTTGATCAGCACCAGCGGCACGTCCAGGGACAGGGCCGGCGGCATGGCGGGCGCATCGCTGGGGTGGGCGCGGGGCCATACCCGCTGCCTCCCGCCGCCCCCCTCGAGCCAAAATGGCTGCGCAGAGACGGCGAGGAGAACGAGCGGAAAGGGGGAGGACGACCCAGGGGGCGTCAACGATGCTGCAGTACGCTCCCTGTCACATGTCCCCTCCTCGTCGGTTTCTCCAAGCACTCTTTTCCATCCCTTTTCATTACGGGACGCGGCCCCATGAAAAACGGACAACCCACGAGCATGCCATGCAGGCAAACATCCGTCTTTGAAAAGGACCTGCCCTGCATCCTTGAAGTTTGCAAGGACTTGAAGAGGTATGATAAGACAGCGCAAGGGATCGTGCAGCGATAACACCGTTTGAAGACATATCCACCTTCGATCCATGTAGCTATTGATCAAACTTTTACAGCTGGTCATAACTTCCAGAGTGTCTCAAGCGAGGTCCCAAATTGGCAAAGCAAGGCCTTTCGTCTTCATGAATGTTGGACGCTTTCAGCACGCATGTGTGCGGCACTACGCCTGGAACTACATGTTGAAAACCACCTCCCCTTCATCCATGTAGCAGTGAGGAACTCTTATGACGTTTGTGCGTGGCGCTAGAGCGAACACTCGTTTACAAAACAAGTAGAGACCACCTTCCCGCCATCTGTGCAGATGTTGAGAATTCCAAAACTTCAAGGTCCTAAGGGGTGGGGAAGACCCAAGCGAATCCCAGCCCGCCCTACCGATACGCTTGATGGTGCGACTAGACTGGGTGATTCAGAAGGGAGAGGGGTAGATGAGGAGAAAGATGATGATGACGCTGATCATTAGGAGGAGGAGGAGAATGAGGAGGAGGAGGAGGAGGAGGAGGAGGAGGAGGAGGAGGAGAGAGAGAGAGGAGGAGGAGGAGGAGGAGGAGGAGGACGAAGAGGAGAAGGAGGAGGAGGAGGAGGAGGAGGAGGAGCCCAGCGTAGAGGAAGGAGGAGGACGAGGACGAAGACGAGGAGGAGGATGATGATGATGAGGAGGAGGAGGATGTGGAGACTGCCCACAGGTGAGCCCCAATATTGAACGACAACCTGCTAAGCCTGCTGGATCGCTCTGCGATCGCGCTCCGCCTTTACACTTGGAAGGGGCAACTCGCCATAGCCTGCTCTCTGAACGGCCACGCGGCTGGGACAGCGGTTCACAACATGGGATTCCCCGCGCTTGGCCCATGGGAGGGGAACGTCGGAAGAGGGCATCTATGTGTATAATTTCAGATATATACACATACGCACTCAAGAGGTAAAACGTCCTCCTCGTCCCCCGCATCAGTCAAGAGGCCAGCGCGCGAGGCGCTGCGCGCAGATGGCCGTGTCCTGCGGCTCCTTTCGCGTGAGCACGCGGCGACGACGGCTGGGCCTTGCCCCTCTCGGGCGCCCGTGGCGGTGACGAAGGTAAACGGAGCATGAACTCACGATCAGGGGGCGCGGAAGGCAGACGTTGCCATACTCGGCGCCTCTACGCACAGCCGGTATGCGCAAGCCTGCGCCAGGCACACATCTCGCACGACGTAGCGGTGGGCACTGGTGGGGAAAGCCCTGAAACATGGGGGGCGTAACGCGATCTTGGAGCTGCGCCCAGGGGCCAGAGGGATGTTGAAGTGCTCGCAACTTGCTGTTGCTCGTCACTGCCGAATTTCCCCAACTGATTTCTCCCAGGGGCTCCCCAGAACCCCTGTACACTTGTCAGGCGTGTTCCTGATTTGCCCTCGAAACGTGCCGGCGGGACAAGTGCCGCTGCTAGCGGAGTCGTCGCTAGACTAATTATTCAGGCACTGGGTAGCTTCAAAGAGGAAGAGAGAGAGGGGGAGAGAGAGGGATATATACATATATATATATATATATATATATAGAAAGAGAGAGAAAGAGAGAAAGAGAGAGAGAGAACAAAAAAAAGCGAGAGAGAGAGAGAGAGAGCGAGAAACAAAAAACAACAAACAGCTGCTTCCAAGGGCAACCCAAGAAGGTCGGGAACGTCGGAAGTTGACGACCATGTGCTGGAGCGCTGAATGGATGTTGAAACTGCCATGAAGACGCGCCACCAAACAGAACAACCACACGTCTTGGCAGAACAACCAACGCGACACCCCCCCTAACTCTCCCTGGAGTCGCACCACATCTGCGGACCAAGATGGCCCCCCCGTTTGGGGGCCCAAGGACGTACCAACACGTATGAACACCTGTGATATCGGCCTCATAGGGCATCCTGGGGGTTCAAGAGAGGGCCTCAAGACGGCACAATGCAGCTTCCCGCAAGCCCCAAGAGGCTCCCAAGACAGCCCCGGAGGGCCACAAGGAGGCCCCACGAGCACCTCCAGAGGCCACAGACATGGAATGTTCGATGGCTTTTGCGATATATCAGCGTTCTCCCCTTTTTCCTTCCTCGGGTGCCCATGACGGCCGAAGCAACCTCCAAGATAGCCTCGAGACGGCCACAGAGGCCCCCAAGAGGGCCCCCAAACAAACGCCCCAGGAGGGCCGCACGATGGCCCACAGAGGCCCCAAGAAGGCTCAGGAGGCCACCAAGACGGCCCAAGAGGACGCCAACAGAGCCAGGAAGCGGGCCCGACGGGCCCCCAAGACGGCCTCCAGTCAGCGCACGAGCGCCCCAAGACGGCCCAAGAGGCCCTCAAGAGACCCCAGGAAGCCCAGAGAGGGGCCCCCAAGAGGCTTCCAGGGGCCCCCTAAGAAGCCTCCAAGATGCACCAAAGAAGCCCCCACACGGCTGAAAGAAACCACCAAGAGGCCCGCGGAAGTGTGTACGAATGGCGCGTTGTTGCTATGCTCATCGGAATTTGGACTTGGCGTTGTCGTGTGTTGACACGCGGTGAATGCTCATTGCCCTCATGGACATTCGCACGCTCGTCCCAGCGCTGAAACCGGGGGGGGGGGGGAGGGGGCGCATCCGCCCCCAGTGGCGCTGGCAACGCCCTGGGGCGGGCAAAACGACACGGCAGAACTTCTCGGCAGACGAACAGGGCAAACCATCCAACGTCCAGTCACAACGTGCTCCAGACGTGCACCCCGCGAAGCGAGAGGAATCTGAGGTTCCCGCCTCGACGGCTTGAAACTATGATCAGTCCCTGCAGCCCGCGATTAAGGCGCGCAAAATCAAGAAGTGAATGTACGCTTTTCAAACTCAACGCTTTGAAGAGTATACTTCCAGGTTCCTGGAGCCCATGATCTATACGCTTCCACGCCCAAACATACTGTTCTCTCCTCCGCACCTGTACCCATGCCTCCAGGTCGTGCTGGAGGGGGGTGGGGGGGAAGATAGGGCAGAGGAGGAGGCGGAAGAGGAGGAAGACGAATATGAAGAGAAATAGAGGGGAATGGGAAGAGCAGACGTTTCCTGACACTCTCGCCAGAAATACACCCGCCTCCAATCGGCCTCCAGGCTTTCTTGTGTGGATTCCAACACCTTTTAAAGCTCTGTCCGTCCCTCTGTCCACCCGTCCGTTCATGCTATGGCTTCCTTCCTCGCTCACTCTCCGCCTTCCTCCCCCGTGCGTCCCCCTCTCCTCCCCTCCCCTCCGTCTCGCCTCCCATCTTGCCCGCTCCCTCCTCCGCTTCCCCACTCGAGGGCGCCTGGTGCACATCTGCTGCAGGGGCCCTGCTCGAGATCGTGCCGAGAATGGGGTGGAAGCTGAAGTTGCAGTCCACGGTCATGGGCGACGGCCTGTAGTCGCGCAGCGCATCCTGCTCAACATCGTGGTGGGGTGGTGGTGACTGTGGTGATGGTGGTCCTGGTGCGTACATGGGCGGCAGCGGCGCTACTCGAGAACGCGTCCTCCAGCGCATGCGTAAAGTCCAAGCTGGCCAAAGCTTGATGTCGTCCACTGCGCACTGCGCGTCCACTGCAATTGTAATGCTGAAGCTGCTATCCGACATTGGCTTGAGGCCCACTTCTGGCTTGGGCTTTATGTCTTGCACCGCCTGTTGCACGTCCGCCCGTGTAGCCCTGCTGGAGATCGCGTCCAGCACGGCTGAAGGTCCACATCTACCTGAAGATCGCGGTTCCGCACCGGCTGCTGCTCATCAGCAGCCGTGGCACTGCTCGAGACCGCGTCCAACACGCGCTGCAACTTGGCGCCTGCCTTCGCCATCGTAAGCGCTGCCCTGAAGTTCCGCACCGTCTGTTGCACATCTGCGGGTGTGGCCCTGCTCGAGATCGCGCCCAGCACGGGCGTGAGGTCCACGGCAGGCTGAGCCTTGAACTCTTGCGCCAACTTCTGGCCGTCCGATGTTGTGGTCGCGTTCGAGATCGCATCCAGTACAGGCCCAAGGTCGATTTCTGCCCTGGGCTTGACGTCGTGCTCCAGTCGCTGCACGTCCGCCACTGCCGCCCTCCCCCGGAGACGACGGCGTCCAACACGAGCCGAATGTCCGCACCTGCCCGAAGGTGGAGGTCTCGCACCGCCCTCTGCAGATCTGCGACTGTCGCCCTGCTGGAGATC